ATCTAATTACACTATCCGAATTATATATACTCATACATTAAGTACATTAGGGTGGTTATTTGATATAATTGAGTTAAAATTTAGATTTAATTTGTTAACTTAACTTTTGTGCAATAGTTAAATGCTATTCCCCCCCCCCCCCCCCCCCCCCCCCCCCCCCCCCCCCCCCCCCACATCACTGTCTCTCTCTTTTGAGCTATTTCAAGCACTTAATCACCAATGATCTTTTATAAGGGTAGCTTCTTGTATCTGACTGAATAGGCAGACCCAGAGGCTCAAAGTATATAGTATCGGTTAGCCAGCCCATGGCACCAACAGAGACGGCTCTAGCTCACCCAATATTGATGTGCAATCCCTCCTTCACATGGGGCCACCTATGGCAGTAATTTTCCAAGACGATCTATAGACTGAGTTGAAACAGTCTCTGATGCTCAACCACAAACGGTGGTTGGAACTTGAAAATCGCATTTCTTTTCACTTATTTGGAAGAGCTAATGCATTTTATCAAGATCTTATTGACAATTACTTGCTTACCCAACATTCAGATACACACAATGAAACACTAGAGAACACACACAAGTTTATAATTCAATACCACTCTCCAAAGGGTCTCTAGAGAGTAGAGAAAAGTTTATTAAAATACTGCATTGGAATAATGAAAGTTACATAAAAATAAGATTTCCTGAACACTACAAACCCTCTTGAGCTGTTTAAAAGTCTTATTTTGACAATCATTCGAACATTAACTTCCACAAAATATAAACGATGACACAACCAAACGTGCCAAACTCAATATTTCCTAATTTTGTCGTCATTATCAAACAGCCAAAATCTTGAGAAAACCTTCATAGGTGACGCCGCCATTTTCATCTTCCCCTCCCAATCTGATCATAGCTTTGATATCATCATCCCCTACCTCAACGCCAGCCCATTTGAGGTAGTTCTTGAGGTCATCATGGCCCACCTTTCCATCCCCATCTTTATCCATAACCCTAAACACATCCTCCATCAATCCCCACCTTCCATCATTATTTCTCTGATCTCCACCATTCTTTTTGCAATCCAAAACGTTCAAAAATTCATCGTACTCAACGTACCCATCTTTGTTCGAATCCGCCAACGACATCATCGACCGGAGAATGTCCTCGTCCGATTCTCCGGTGCCTGAAAACCCTGAGTAAAAGGTCTGAAGATCGTCCCGGCTAATCTTTCCGTCATGGTCAACGTCAAGCACTTCAAAAGCTGACCTTAAAGCGGACTTCTTGGTGGCGTCAGGATGTGATGAAGTCCCTGTAGGACACATTTTATACAACCACCAATGAAGATATATGGGCAATTGCTGTATATGCAGCTATGAAAATGGAGGCCGAGAGATTATAGGAACAAGAGGCTGAGAGAAAATGGGAGAAAAAGGAGACATTTTTACAGTAGGACTTCCGGGGTTTTAGGGTCCACCAGCTGTTTGTCACATGGCTTGAGCGACAAGGTACGAGTGAGAGAATGACAATTTACACCCCAATTTTTTTTAAAATTTTCAATTTATACTAAGATTAAAACTTTCTTACTAACTCTCTATTTTTTTTTAACTTCAACATTCAAGGTGTTCAGGCCAACTTATGTTCATCAAGACTAATATTTTCCTTGATCTAACTAAAAGTAAGTCACTTACGTCAAGATTAAGATATTCATGACATGGGTGATAAATTTCTCTTGGCTTGGCTACAAAGATTTGTTAAAATTCGAACTTAAGACGTTTAAGTTTATAATTTGTTTTTGTTATCAATTAAGTTATCTCTTGGGGTTACATTGGTATTTTTTTCTAACTATTCAAAATTGAAATTAGAAATTTTAATCTTTTAAAATATAAATTAAATTTTTTTTTAAAAATAGTGGTACAAAATGTAATTTACCCTTTTATATGCGTGTGGCATGACATCATTGACCAATACTGCAGGACATTGTTGAAAGTTCTGTGAAGAATCTGGCAGGTCGATGACTAGTCAAACACAAGCAGACAAAATATGATTGGTTGGTTCGAATATCAGATGGGAAAATTACAGAATCTGTCCTCCACAATGTGCTGATTCTATTCCTTCCGGAGTTTGTGTGCACAAATGATCGTCTTTCAGAATTCACCAAACACTTGCTTCCAAAGACTTCAGCCAGAAGACTGCAAATTGCCGAAGGGATCAAAACTTATTTCCCAGCGGTAATACTATGGTGTCGGATTTTTTTTTTTCTGTTTTAACGGTCAGGAATATTCGAACGAACTTACGCACATCTTGACTAATTTCATCTCCGTCTGATTAAAAAAAGATCATTCACGCCAAAACTATAATATCAAATTATTCAATACTCTATCAAAAATTATAATACGATCGATAAAATTAAGACTAACTCTAGACCGTAACAAACAGCTATGTAAATTTGATTGGACTTGTACATGTTCAATCTAAATTTTTTTAGTTTCTTAATATTTAAAGAGTTATAATTGATATATCGTTCGTTGTAGATTTCGGTATGTTGGTGAAGTTGATATTTTTAGCCTTTTCCTATGGCTTGACTTATCTTTGTCAATTTTTCTAAAAAAGGTTTTGGAAAATTAAAAAAAATACTGAGGTTGTTCTCCATGGATGACAATTAATCTTGACCACAATTCATAAACCTTGCAAAGCATTGAGGGCCAAACAATTTGCAGCATATACATATAGTCATACTACCAATTAAGAGGAAGTGTAAGGTGTTAGAGAAAGGTCCACAACAATGGACCATTTGAATTTGACTTTTTAAGCTCAATTAGCATAGTAGATTATCTCAATCAATTTTGGATCGAACCTTTTTTTATAGACGAGAGATCTATTGGAATATAATAGACTTGATCATGATCGATGATTTAAAATTGAAATAAGAAAGTCTCTATTCGAATTAGTCTCACCCGATACGATTGACAGACTTATATATAATTGAGGTTTATTAGATAAGTTTTAAAGTTAATTCAAGTTCAAATATCGATTGTACAACTGATATTTATCCAAATCAGCCATATTTAATTCTCTAAATATTTTTCTTATTTTAGGAGGTCAATCCATGTCAATGAAAGATACTGATGTCTTAGTAATGGACCGCCACAATATGTGAAAGGCCAAATCGATGAAAGACTGCAGCCATTGGAAAATGGAAGCATCAAATGCAAGTAGAACAAGTTGGAAGCTTGAGACCTTAGGCCACATGTTTAAGATTCCTTCGAGTTGGGTAGTCCTCCATTTTTTTCTAATACTAACAATACCACATGAATTATACGGAAATAAATTTAAATAATATTATTTTTATAAAAAATATAAATGATATATGTAATTAAATTAAATATAAATTAGGTGCTGAATAATTATTATTAAATTTAATTATTAATTTATTCTATAAATGTTTGAGTATCTAATTTTTCATTTATTTAAGTATTTCTTTGATCTCTTTAAATATTTGTATATTTAATTATATTATAGAATTATTAATATATATTTTGTTAAATAGATTGATTAGATCGTTTATAATAGTATTATATATCAAAAAATAAAATATAACATATATTAGATTGTGGTTTAATAATTTAACATATATATAACTTTATTTTATGAAATAGATATAGATAATTGTGTATAATTGTACTACTAATAAATGAATTTAAATAAATTTAAAAATTCTTATAAAAGAGACTAAAATAAGTTGAAAATCAAATAAGTGTAAAAAAACTAGGGGTGCAACTCGGGCGGGTTGCGCGGGTTGAACAATCAACCCTAACCCAACACTAGGTATATAATCTTCAACCCCAACCCTAACCTTAACTCTAACCCTACCTCGGGTTGGGGAACTCAACTCGAGCACTGCCCGAATTTAATTCGGGCGGGCTCGGGTTGAATTCGGGTTGATGATTTCGGGCTGATTTCGAATTACTTTACAGGTTCAATTCGGGTAGAGTCCAAAATAAGTTTGTTGTTCTAAACCTAATACATATATTACATAATATTCACCTAAATTAACAACTAATAACTTCAACTAAATTTTTAACGAGAAAGGCTGAGAGAACGAGAGAGGCAAAGAGAACAAGAGAGACAAAGAACGATAGAATAAAAATGAAAAATCAGTGCTAACACTTTATATATATATATTTTTTTTAATTTGTCGGGTTCGGGTTGAACTCGGGTTCATGAGGCCTTAACTCGAACCCAACACAAATTGAATTTGGGTTAGAGTTTTTTGACCCAAACCCAACCCAAGTATTAAAAATATTTGCCCAAACCCTAATTTTTTCGGGTTGGGCTCGAGTTGAAATCGGGTTGCCCAACCCAAGTTGCACCCCTAAAAAAAACATAACTTAGATGAAACTATATAAATAGGTATAATTAATTTTATTATAATAATTATGAATAAAATAGGAAATCAATATTTTTTTCGTAGATGAAGTATAGATATTGATAGATAAATATAATTATTGCTAAATCGTTGTGTGTGTGTGTGTGTGTGTATGTGTGTGTGTGTATATATATATATATATATATGTGAGTGTGTGGGTGAGAGAGAGAGAACAAATGCATGGGAACCTAAAATAATTCTATCCCTACTGATTATTTAAGGAAGAACAATATTACATAAACTTAAAAATTATATTTGATAATTACAATCATTGATTTTATTGTGAGTTTCAACATTTATTAGAATTCAATACTTATTCAATAATTGTGATTATTAAGTTTAATTTTTAAATCTAATTTTTAAGTCTATATAACATTACTCGTTAAAGAATATTGATTGAGGAATAGTGCTACACCAGAGAGCAAGAATGCCGCGTGGATATTATTTCATGCTTGTATCATATTCAAATCGCATCTTATCAAAATTTATTACGTTAATATCTAATTTTATTTTTTTACAAAGAGTATATAATCTATAGTCATGGTCATAGTGATTTCTTTATCAAGTGTTAGCAACAACACCCAATAATTTTGAGAATCCTTAGAGAAACTATTATAGTGGACTAGATTTTGGTATTTTTTTGTTGCAAAACTAGGAAAATTCCTTATCTCTTATTGGATCCTTTTACCATGTCACCTTTGTTCATGGTTATAATCATACACCTTTACCATGTTTAGAGAAACAACTACTTGGGTAAGAGCTAGATCCCCACCACTCGCCGGTTTGGTTGGAAATGAATATCTCAATGTTAAATACTTTATTGGTAAAAAATTTCTTCGGGATAATTGTAAATTTTACCCTAAAAAATTGTTCAATTTTGAATTTACACCCTCAAAGATTAAAACTTTCAATTTGCACCCTCAAAGAAAGAAATTTATATCAATGTGCACTCTCAAAGATAAAAAATTTCAATTTACACCTTCAAAGATAGAAATTTGTATCAATATGCACATAAAACTAAATTGATAAATTATACATAAATTTCTTTATGTTTGTCACTTAATCGTTTGAACTCCTTCACATTTAAAATATTACTCCTACATCCAATGACGTTTGTGCACGTGTAACACGTAATCTTTTTCGTTGATATCTGTTAATATAACTGTTTAAAAATATTATTTTATCATAATAAAAAATTATAATTTTATATTACTCTTTATTTTATGGGTCCAATATACTCTAAAATTCAAAATTAAGCTTACCATTTGAATGTCTAATAGAGTAAATGGTTGCACATTGAGTGATATATTGCATTGGATATAAAAAATATTATCTACATTTTATTGGACATTCAAATGGTAAGCTTGATTTTGAACTTTAAAGTATATCGGACCCATAAAATAAAGGGTAATATGAAATTATATTTTTTTATTAAGATGAAATTATATTTTTTTTAACGATTATATTAATATATATCAACGAAAATGGGTTATGTGTTACACGTGCACAAACCTCATGAGATGTAGGAGTAATATTCTAAATGTGAAAGGGGTCAAATTATTAGGTGACAAACATGAGGGAATCTAAGTATAATTTATCAATTTAATTTTAGGTGCATATTGATATAAATTTTTATCTTTGAGGGTACAAATTGAAATTTTTTATTTTTGGGGTGCACATTGATACAAATTTTTATTTTTGAGGGTGTACATTGAGATTTTTGATCTTTGGGAGTACATATTGATATAAAATTTTATCTTTAAAGGTGTAAATTAAGATTTTTGATTTTTGAAAGTCTAAATTGAGATTCGAAATATCTTTCCAAATAAAACTTGCAATTAATCCAATTTCTTCCCCAAATAAAATTCATTACCAAAAACAAGAAAAGGCAAATATTGTCATGTAACTTCTATCAAGTTATATTTAAACTCATCTTATTTTTAACTACAATAGCTGCACATAATACACAGAATTCGTCTATCCTTCTTTAACACAAATCCTAAGAAACCACACAAATCTCTCATAAAAGCAACTCAAAAGATTAGAGAGGGAGAGAGAATCTCAAGCAAAAGAAAAGGAGAAAGACTCTTGACCCAAAAAAATAAGAAAAGACAGCAGACATCTTAAGCAGCTATGAACTCTTTAATGGCAGCAAAGAGTGGCGGAGCAGTAGACGGGTCAAATAGCTCCATGGCATGATAACCATCGCTAAAGAACTTCACCACGTGCACACCCTTCTCTTCTAACATGTTGGCAAACTCCATATCTTTATCAACCAACGGATCACCATGCATACCCGTCACCAAGATCCGCCACCCCAGAGACTTAACCCGATCAATATATTTGGATCCACCATTCGCCGTTGGGTTGCAATACTCATGATCATGATCAGCTCCTATAGGCAAGCATAAATCAAACATCTTATCGATCGAGTGCAATGGCAAGAGCACGTCTTTGGCCATCTTCTTCTCCGATTCGGTTCTTTGGGTCCCACTGAAATATGGGTGGTGCAAGATCATCCCTTTGATCTTCAATGGTTGAAGATCGGTCGCCATTAGACCTGCTTGATAAGCCAGGTTTCCACCTGCACTAGTCCCACAGATATAACAGTTAGAGAGATCAGCATAGTCACGTACCCAATCATCTTGTGAGTTTCTGACCCATTTAAGCCCTTCAATGGCGTCCTCGTAAGCTGCAGGAAGGCGGTGTTTCGGGGCGAGACGGTATTCGACGGAGACGACAATAGCGCCGACTCCGGTGACTATTCCTTTGCAGAGAACGTCATAAATTATTGAGTTTGCATGACTAAAGACAAAGCCACCACCATGCAAGTAGACAATGAGAGGTAGTTTAGTGGCCGGAGAAGCTTTTCCGGCTTGCCGGGGGAGAAAAAGTCGGAGCCAGGTGTTGTGATTTGGGTTGAGAGGCAGGTCCTTCGTGAGGACAGATGAAGTGCCGTTGGGATCGGCGTTTGGCGGAACGGTAGGGTCTGGAACGCAGCGATCGACCATGCCATTGAGGGTTTGTTTGATTTCGAGAAAAGGATTTGCCTCGGTGGTTTGCAAGGCCGCCGGAACCAGAAATTTATTGTCGGGCATATTGAGACGAATTGTATTGAGAAAGAAGAAGGTGATGAAAGAGTGAAGAATGATTTTGAGTTTAAGAGTCTGTTGAGATGTGTGGGGAAATCTTAGGTGAAATCCTATCCTTTAATTCCACAATTTTCCTACAGTTTGTTATTCATATATATATCTAATGATTTTAAAGTTCACATCTTTAATTTTTTCTAATAATTAGGGGATTTTCCCTTACTCAATTGAAAAATCGTAAATTAATTTACAAAATTAATTTAAAATTTTAATTTGATAAATTATTAGTATTGAATAGGTAGTGGGTCCAATAAATATTAAGACCCACAATAAAATCAATATTAAATACAAAAAATATATCATGAAGTCAATTTTTTAATTTTGAGAAACATTGTTCCACTCAATTATTCCAATGCTATGAGGATCCTTATCCTTATATTCTACCAAAATTTTCTCACTTCTATTTTCTATTTCAATCATTTATCATTAATTTCTCCTTAATATGAGGGAATTTTTCTTAACGATAATGCTATATTTACCAAATTTTGTATTCTAAATAATGTAACACAATTTCTATTATTAAATATTAATAAGAGCCAAAAAATTCCTTCCAAAAGCTGAGAAGTAAGAGTAATATTGTACCTTCTATCTTTGTGTGGAATGATTGGAGACGTTCAAGCTATCATCAATCTCTTTCACGTGTGAAATAGATCTTGAGTATTTGTATAGAACATTTTAGAGATAGCCTAGAGGAAGTGTAAGGTGTTAGAGAAAGGTCCACAACAATGGACCATTTGGATTTGACTTTTTAAGCTCAATTAGCATAGTAGATTATCTCAATCAATTTTGGATCGAACCTTTTTTTTATAGACGAGAGATCTATTTGAATATAATAGACTTGATCATGATCGATGATTTAAAATTGAAATAAGAAAGTCTCTATTCGAATTAGTCTCACCCGATACGATTGACAGACTTATATATAATTGAGGTTTATTAGATAAGTTTTAAAGTTAATTCAAGTTCAAATATCGATTGTACAACTGATATTTATCCAAATCAGCCATATTTAATTCTCTAAATATTTTTCTTATTTTAGGAGGTCAATCCATGTCAATGAAAGATACTGATGTCTTAGTAATGGACCGCCACAATATGTGAAAGGCCAAATCGATGAAAGACTGCAGCCATTGGAAAATGGAAGCATCAAATNCAGCCAATGGAAAATGGGAAGCATCAAATGCAAGTAGAACAAGTTGGAAGCTTGAGACCTTAGGCCTCGTTTGTTGGACAGCCAAGAAGTCATTCTCAATCAATATATAGCAGCTCAGGGCCTCTAATTGGTTGCAATCAGAGTTGGAGTCAGAATCTTTTATCGAAGGAGACCAAATAATGTTGAGAGTATGGGCCATGGTCCCCATGGGCCATAGCATGGCTCCGCCACTGGCTGCAGTGCAGCTAAGTTTTTGTAGGCTTGATGGATGACTAGTGATGGTAATTGGATAAATAGAAGATAGATAGTTACATATGTGGAAACAGTGATGTCCTCATTTCGTATCAGCCAGACTGTAGGATGGAACACATGTAACAAAGTAGACCACATGTTTAAGATTCCTTCGAGTTGGGTAGTCCTCCATTTTTTTCTAATACTAACAATACCACATGAATTATACGGAAATAAATTTAAATAATATTATTTTTATAAAAAATATAAATGATATATGTAATTAAATTAAATATAAATTAGGTGCTGAATAATTATTATTAAATTTAATTATTAATTTATTCTATAAATGTTTGATTATCTAATTTGTCATTTATTTAGGTATTTCTTTGACCTCTTTAAATATTTGTATATTTAATTATAATATAGAATTATTAATATATATTTTGTTAAATATATTGATTAGATCGTTTATAATATTATTATGTATCAAAAAATAAAATATAACATATATTAGATTGTGGTTTAATAATTTAACATATATAAGACTTTATTTTATGAAATAGATATAGATAATTGTGTATAATTGTACTACTAATAAATGAATTTAAATAAATTTAAAAATTCTTATAAAAGAGTCTAAAATAAGTTGAAAATCAAATAAGTGTAAAAAAACATAATTTAGATGAAACTATATAAATAGGTATAATTAATTTTATTATAATAATTATGAATAAAATAGGAAATCAATATTTTTTTCGTAGATGAAGTATAGATATTGATAGATAAATATAATTATTGCTAAATCGTTGTGTGTGTGTGTGTGTGTGTGTGTGAGTGTGTGTGTATATATATATATATGTGAGTGTGTGGGTGAGAGAGAGAGAACAAATGCATGGGGACCTAAAATATTTCTATCCCTACTGATTATTTAAGGAAGAGCAATATTAAATAAATTTAAAAATTATATTTGATAATTATAATCATTGATTTTACTGTGTGTTTCAACATTTATTAGAATTCAATACTTATTCAATAATTGTGATTATTAAGTCTAATTTTTAAATCTAATTTTTAACTTCATGTAACATTACTCGTTAAAAAATATTGATTGAGGAATAGTGCTACACCAGAGAGCAAGAATGCCGCGTTGAGTGCAACTTTACCGCAAGTTGATATTATCTCGTGCTTGTATCATATTCAAACCGCATCTTATCAAAATTTATTACGTTAATATCTAATTTTATTTTTTTACAAAGAGTATATAATCTATGGTCAAGTTCATAGTGATTTCTTTATCAAGTGTTAGCATCAACACCCAATAATTTTGAGAATCCTTAGCGAAACTATTATAGTAGACTAGATTTTGGTATTTTTTTTGCTGCAAAACTAGGAAAATTCCTTATCTCTTCTTGGATCCTTTTACCATGTGACCTTTTTTCATGGTTATAATCATACACCTTTACCATGTTTAGAGAAACAACTACTTGGGTGAGAGCTAGATCCCCAACCACTCGCCGATTTGTTGGAAATGAATATCTAAATGTTAAATATTTTATTGGTAAAAAATTTCTTCGGAATAATTACAAATTGTACTCTGAAAGATTGTTTAAATTTGAATTTACACCTTCAAAGATCAAAAATTTTAATGTACACCCCCAAAGATCAAAATTCTCAATTTGTACCCTCAAAGATAGAAATTTTTATCAATATACACCTAAAACTAAATTGATAAATTATACCTAAATTCTTTTATGCTTGTCAGTTAATCATTTGAACCCTTTACATTTAAAATATTACTCTTATATCTCATGACGTTTGTGCACGTGTAACACGTAATCTCTTTTCGTTGATATCTGTTAATATAACTGTTAAAAAATATGATTTTATCATAATAAAAAAATATAATTTTATATTACTCTTTATTTTATGGGTTCAATATACTCTAAAGTTCAAAATCAAACTTACCATTTGAATATCTAATAGAATAAAGGGTTGCACATTGAGTGATATATTGCATATATTATATAAATATCTATATTTTATTAAACATTCAAATGGTAAGCTTAATTTTGAACTTTAAAGTATATCGGATCCACAAAATAAAGGGTAATATGAAATTATACTTTTTTATTAGGATAAAATCATATTTTTTTAATGATTATATTAATATATATCAACGAAAATGGGTTATGTGTTACACGTGCACAAACGTCATGAGATATAGAAGTAATATTCTAATGTGAAGGGGTTCAAATTATTAAGTGACAAACATGAGGGGATCTGGGTATAATTTATCAACTTAGTTTTAGGTGCATATTGATATAAATTTCTATCTTTGAGGGTACAAATTGAGATTTTTGATCTTTGGGAGTGCACATTGATACAAATTTCTATTTTTGAGGGTGCAAATTAAGATTTTTGATCTTTGGGGGTACACATTGATATAAATTTTAATCTTTAAGGGTGTAAATTGAGACTTTTGATCTTTGCTAATCTAAATTGAAATTCGAACTATCTTTCGGAGTACAACTTGCAATTAACCCACTTTCTTCCCCAAATAACATTCATTACCAAAAACAAGAAAATGCAAATATTGCCATGTAACTTCTATCAAGTTATATTTAAACTCGATCTTGTTTTTAACAATAATAGCTGCACATAATACATAGAATTCGTCTATCCTTCATTAACACAAATCCTAAGAAACCACACAAATCTCTCATAAAAAGCAACTCAAAAGATTAGAGAGGGAGAGAGAATCTCAAGCAAAAGAAAAGGAGAAAGACTCTTGACCCAAAAAAATAAGAAAAGATAGCAGACATCTTAAGCAGCTATGAACTCTTTAATGGCAGCAAAGAGTGGTGGGGTAGTAGACGGGTCAAATAGCTCCATGGCATGATAACCATTGCTAAAGAACTTCACCATGTGCACAACCTTCTCTTCTAACATGTTGGCAAACTCCATATCTTTATCAACCAACGGATCACCATGCATACCCGTTGAAGGGACTAATCCTCGTGATTACACGTGTTAGAGCATTAAATGGGCTCACGAGAGATTGACAAGACTAATCATGTGAGGAGGAAGTCATTCACCCAGTCATTTAATCCGAGCCGAACAGAATAAAGGGTTCGGTAAGAAGATTAAAGAGTTCGGCTCTCATGCCTAGCTAGCTCTTGAATCCGTTCAGCAAAGCCAGGAAAGTGTTCAGCTTCTACCAAGCCAAATTCTCCAGAATGTGCGGTTTGTACCAAACTGAGTTTCCAAATAGTTTGGCAAACGTTAATCGAGCTCGGCATTCGGAATGCCCGAGCAGTTTGCAGTGGTAGAAGGAAAGTTAAAGACTTGCCTAAAACTTAGGCAATCAGATAAACGAAATCAACGAGATTGAAGATACGATGAGAAATTGTTGGAAAAAAATTGAAAACCTTCCAAAACTCAATTACTGAATGAAAGGAAGGTGTGCCACCTTGAACCGAAAGTCATGGAAACCCTAATGGAATAATGATCTATAAAAGGCAAAGGAAGTCAAGGTGAAAGGTACGCTGAACTCTCCTTGTCT